GCAGACAATATAGAAATAAACCACTCAAAATGTGCAATTAGTGACACCACGTATACACCACGAGCTCGTCCATTCGGTCCAGTCGGTGACAAAGAATGTCGATATTCTTACACCTTTACTGACTTTATACGCGGTTTCGAACCTAATCACCGCCATTCTCAGGCCCTGGCGCGTGCCGTGCCGGCGTGCGGCAGCCACCGCAGCACGACACACTACTACCCGCAGCGTTATCAAACTGTCAAGAGAGTCGAGAAAATCACACGGCGGCGGTCGCAGGATGACACGATAAAAACGATTGTTTTTGTGTGTTTCTTTTTTCTCTGAGCTTTAGGAAGTGCACTCAAATCGTACTTATGGAAAGAAATTTGTTCAGTAGATGTGGGCATAAGGGACATCAGAGTGAGGTCAGAGTCAAAATTTTGACCTGATGATAGTCAAAATGTCAAATAAATTAGGCCAAGTCAAAAGTGTAGGACAAATATGGTGCAAAATTTTGACCTGATAGTAAATCGTCTCAACTCAGCCCATTGGGTTTGCTGTACACAATTTCAAATTTAACACAAAAAAGAGAAACTTTTTTTTTTACTATATTTCAGATGCTCTGTTTGTCCCGCCAGCTCATGCACCAAGCAGGGCGCGCCGGCGAAAACTTGCTTGCTGCACTTGGCGCAAGCAAACTGAAGAGTTTTCCCCGGCGTGTTTTTCCGGGCGCCCGTGTTTACTTTTCCTTTTCTCCTCCTCCTCCTCCTCACCCTGCCCCTGCCACTCTACCTCTCTCCCCCGCCCCCTCCTCTCTCCCCTCGCCTCTCCCTGTCTCTCTGGGAAGAGAGGGGGAGGGGGAGGGATGGAGCGCACGCCCCGTCGCCGACAAATCAAAACAAAAATCACATTGTGTCATCCCCATACACGCTTATCGATAGCGCGAAGGTGGGGGAGGGGTAGGAGGACCCTGGGGAAGATGAGGCCCAATGTCCGTTCCACGAATACTCAGTACGTTTTGAAGAAACCGACATATTGTCCCAGACTGCATATCTGGCTCTCAGGTCTTTTTCGGTACTAATTTCGGCAAGTCCGGGATGTGGGATGTGGTTTTGGACTGTACCGCGGGCGACATTCGGACTGCCCGATCTTCAGACTCCTTTCGGTATAAAACGGTTCTATAAGGGCTAGGTGCGGGGACCCTCACCCGTGTTCCTATATTTTTACTTACCATGTTTCAGTAGCTACTATGTTCCCTTTGGGTCGGCCAGCGTCTCCCTCAAATCAACGCCTCTCCTCTGGCACTTTGCAGTGTGCGCCTTAGTTAATGGTGGATCGAAATAGAGCAGGAAAGTCGCAGTGACAAACGGCGAAGCTGGATCGAGGAATCCGCTTCCAAAACCAGTCCGTCCAAACAGTCCGAGAGGGACGAGGAGGGGAGGGGGGGGGGGAGCAGGGTCCCAGCGGAACAGGGAAAGGGAGCGGCGGGCCCAAGGGAACAAGCCGCGGAGATTTTCCGCTTACCGTCTGGTTTTGTTTTCGTCTTTTTGACTGAGCTAGGGTGATTAGATGGGCGTCCGAGAGAGGTGACGAGGTACGTCGCACATCACCCCGTAGAGAACGATTGTACCAGGTGGCTGATTAACCCCGCGCACTTCTGTAGTTAGACTGTACCGCACGCAGGAGTGCGGGCGGGCTTGCCTCTATCGCCCCTGTCCACGGCGCCTCACGGGCCGGGCGAGTAGGCAACCCGCCCGCACTCGTGCGTGCGGTACAGTCTAACTACAGAAGTGCGCGGGGTTAATCAGCCACCTGGTATAGTGCTCAAGCCTTATTGCCAACTGTTTTTGCGGGTACCCACTAAAAATTCAGTATATATGGCTGTGTATGAGATGTCATTCGCGGCTTAAATAACCACCTGGTATATCATCCAAGATTCTTTAATTCTTTCCTCAAGTTTTTGCCCCGGGTCCCCGCTGACGATGGTTACTGTCTGCAGACGGCGCCGCCGTTAGGCCCGAGCCTCGCGCGCCGCGCAGTGGCACGCTGCCAAAGAACTTGAACCTGGAGACGCCGGACCAGACCGAGACCGGCCGCGCGACTGGCTGGAGTCTACGGTGTACAGACATACCTGTTGGGATAAAACATGCAGACCGGGGGAGAACGAAAATAAAAGGAACAAGTATTATTGGGACTGACTCTGAAATGTATTGGTTGTACAACGAGGCTGGTGGACAGTCCAGTTGAAACTGCGTCTCTCCAAACCTCGTATAAGTTTGGAATGGCCTTTAACAAAATTCCATCCACTTGTTTTTTGCCTGTCTTTTATCATGGGCGTGGGTATACGGCACTGTGCAGCGTGCGACTATGAGAATCCGATATCCACAGAATCAGATATCCTCTTAGATGGCGAAGACAAGAAACCCCATCTGTCCCTTTCACCTATGCGGCGCGGCAGCGTCCCAACTGCGACTGCTGAGCAATCACTTAAGCCGATATATCGCACCGCACACATAGTGATTGGTCAAATAGTTATGGGGTCCTAAAAGGATCTGACAGGATGGTCATTTGAGTCCAATTAGACCCCCTAAAAGTTGTACCCCACAATAAAAATATCATGGGATCTCCTTGCACTCCAATGACCATCCTGACCCTTTTGAGACCTCATGATATTTTAACCCCCTCCCCCTAGAAGTCGGGTGGAACGACCCCATACCGCACACACCGGCCCGCCGCGGCTCGCCCAGCAGGGCTCACCTGCTCCTGCAGCCTCCCGCCGGTCCGTGCACTTGACCTAGGCTCCTTGTTTAGGGACCGGCCCGCGCCCCGGAGAGTCCTGCGCACGTTACGTAAGGACGCCGGCGCACCAAGGCTGCGGGGCGTTACGTAAATTAGATGGATGCGGCGCGCGCGATTGGTCAGCATGCTGGAGAGGGAATGAGCGAATTAAAAGGACGGAAAAGAAAATGTTGTGGCCAAGGTCGTTTACCCAGGTTGACTTCCCCTCCCTGAACGCTCACGGCTCTTTGGACAGGCGCCGCCCCGCCGCCGCCGGTGCGCCGCGCCCCGCGTTTGGATTTCCAAGGCTTCTGGCCGCCTGTCCTGTCGCTCTGCTCTGCTCGTCGCCGGGCGCCGTGCGTCACCCTCCCGTCGCGCGCAAACGGGGGGACGAGTACCACGACCATGCAGATCAGATTCCCGACACTTGCCGTTAATCCACCGAAATAAACCCGTCCCGTTGTGACCGCAAGCAGACGCGCCCCACCCCACCGCCACACACACACACACACACACCGCGAGCACGCGGGCAGGGGGGTCCATGGGATCCGTACGACGGCGTCGGCTGCCCGTGACCGAGGAGGCCCAGGGCCTGGACCGCACCAAAGGCTCCGATGTCGCCTCAGCCGTGTTCGATTACCCGTACTTCTCTCTGACCGCGGCGTGCGCGCTCGCGTTTGCGCCCCATTACGCAAGAGACGGTTTGAAGCCACTTGCCCCCCCCCCCCCACCTACTTTGACCAACCCCCATCGCCCTTCCTCCCCCGGCTGTGCTGTGGTGTGGCCAATAGCGAAACCTCTCCTCCTCCTCCGCTCCTTCCGCTCGGAAGTCCGTATCCGTTGCCCCGCGGCTCTGGTTACACACGGCCGCCGCTTTGCGGGAACAGATTGGCGCGGCAGGTTGTTGTCGGCGCCGCAAGTGGCGGCAAGTCACACGGCTGTGATGATGATGCCGGGGCCACGAGTAAGCGCAGCAAACCATTGCGCGCGCCGTGGGGAGGTTTTAGAGAACCCCTGCCACTCCCTCGCAAGCACTGCCGGTACCGCTGCTGTGGCGCGCCGCGGCGGCCGCGGCCCGGCCGGCGGCGCCCCCGCCGCCGCCCGCGCGCTGCTCCTGGCGCTGGCGCTGAAGTTCAATGTCAAGTCCAGGCGGGTATCCTGGGCACTCACCAGGTTCCCCAGGGACACCATGGTGGCGGCCGGTTATCCAGGTCGGGCCGAGACGTGTGCCCGCCGCTCCTCGAAGCTCGCTGAGATGCGCGAGTGACGTAACTTCGCACATGGATGGCGGCACGGGGCTGTCCTCCGCTGTACGCTGCACGCGCGCGCGACCACCACCGACTAATCTCGTCCCGGCTGTTGGAAGAATGCGTCCTGCCGCCGCGGGGGCGCACGCCCGACTCGAAGGATTGAACGCCAGCGCCTCTGCCACCGTGGCGCGGAGCAGGGGGGTGAGGCGGAAGAGGTGCGGGCCACGGCTCTCCGTCTGGAGCGGCTCGGCCTGGTCCGGCGGCCCCCCCTGCTGGCGCGAGGAACGGCCCCTCTCCCTCTCTCTCCCTCTCTCTCCTTAAAAACGGCCCTAACGGCCTACCTGCCGACAGAGGCAGCGGCCGCCGAGGCCGCCCCGGACGCAGCCGCCCCAGCTCACCAGCGGCAGTTATATAAGTGCGTGTATGGTCGCGGGGCGTGGCGTGGCGTGGCGAGCACGCAGGACCCGCGTGCTGAGCACTGCGCGGCGTACTCCTTCGCCTACAACATCTCAGGAACGCGAAATGAATGCGGCGTGACGTCATAGGTGCATCTTTCGGTGCATCATACGGCCCCTCTCTTTTTCTGCACATAGGGTGGGGGGAGGCGGTAGGCGGTCCCTCAGAGGCAGATCTATATCCTTACCTCGCATACCACACCTCGCATTTTGTCTACTTATGGATGAAAAGTAATGCTCTTTGCCCTCCCGTTAGAAGTACGTTGCTGAGGTTGCACGTGAATGCACACGAATAGTAGTAGCACCAGGGCAGAAATGCCACCCGTAGACAGTATCCGCAGAGCCATGACGATGTGGGCTTCGGAGAAAGGCAGAGAAAGGAGAGATTTGTTTTTCAAATTCGTCCAGATGATCATCAAGATAGAATGTTTGATTTAATTACATATGAAGCAAAACTATTATCTTTTACATTTTCAACATTATCAATTGTGTTCTTCTAGGCCAGAGATGCACTAACTATTTCTGCTCTTGACCTGTTTCTGACCCGACGGTGCTCGCGCCCGCCGCGCGCGTGCTTTCGTATTTAGCGCCGTGACGCAGAAGTTTCTCATACTTTTTCCAAACACTTGACTGTCTGGTCTGCTGCTGCACTATTTGTTTGTGTACACAATTGTACACCCATTGTCATGCAAATTTAAAACGACGGTCTTAATATCCTCTAAGCTTTTCAAATGTAGGAAGAAAAACTTAGTTTTCGCTTTAGCTACCACTCAGACGACAACGGGTGCTAATCGTGTAAGTTCTTTCACGATTATATGTAAATACCACTCATTGTCTGCAGGCCACAATGGGGTTGTAACCTCTTCGAAAGTTATTTAACACCCAAATTTCGATTATATTTCGTGGAAGTGTCCTGTTACTATGAATATCGGTCTGTTTGATATCATTTATCTTTCGGATATCACTGGTTTTGTTGGTCTAATAGAGATATTTTTGCGATACGTTGTGCCGGCCCAGCCGGCCATTCAATTGACAGTTTACTCTTTCAGAATTTTGAATTATGAATTTTTGTTCTCTTAGGTACCTACTCTATGCAACATGGCGGACAAAGTGACTCTGGCTGATGCGTTGTCTAATGTTGATGTGCTTGATGAGCTGACATTGCCTGATGAACAACCTTGTATCGAGGCTCAGCCATGTTCAGTCGTATATCAGGTTAATTTTGACACCAACTTTGAAGATCGTAATGGATTTGTCACAGGTGTTGCCAAATATATTGAAGAAGCAACAGTTCATTCTAGCTTAGTAAGACTACTTTTAGTTATATTGTATTTTAAAAATGTTCACACTTCAAAGAACCAATCAAAATAGTGCATAATGGAACCTAACTAGATTGAAATTTTCAGAATGAATTGTTAGAGGAAGGAGTTGAGCATGCTGTTATGTTATACACTTGGCGATGCTGTTCAAGAGCTATTCCTCAGCCCAAATCAAATGAGCAGCCCAATCGAGTGGAAATTTACGAAAAGACTGTTGAAGTTTTGGCACCAGAAGTGAACAAACTGCTGAACTTTATGTACTTTCAGGTATTGAAGCTACCGCACTTGAATATAATACTATTAAATAATTTTTATTCATGTTATCTATGATTTGTCATTTCAGAGCAAAGCTATTGAACGCTTCACCTCAGAGGTCAAAAGACTTTGTCACACTGAAAAACGTAAAGATTTCATTTCAGAGGCTTACATGCTGACACTTGGGAAGTTTATTAACATGTTTGCAGTCCTAGATGAACTTAAAAACATGAAGTCCAGTGTAAAAAATGATTATTCTACATACAGAAGGTTGGTAATCTAATCACCTTCCTTCTTTTATTTTGTTCAAAATATGTAGTTTCTTTTTTTAAAAGAAAATTTTTGCAGAGCTGCTCAGTTTCTGAAAGTCATGGCTGACTCACAAACTCTTCAAGAAAGTCAAAACCTCTCTATGTTCTTGGCAACTCAAAATAAAATCCGTGATGCTGTGAAAGAGAACTTGGAGCGAGTTGCTGGCTTTGAAGACCTCCTTGCTGATGTAGTGTCTCTGTGTGTGCATATGTTTGAGACTCGTCTCTATCTTGCCCCCCATGAAAAGCACATGCTTGTAAAAGTTATGGGTTTTGGGCTATTCTTAATGGATGGTGAACCTAAGAGTTTGAGCAAATTGGATGAAAGAAAAAAACTAAACTTGGCAAAAATTGATAGGATTTTTAAGGTATTGGATTTGAAATTAAGGGATATGCTTTTGAAGTTGAGTTAGGTATGGTTCATTTAAATAATGTCTATCTATCTACTGGTTTCCTAGAACTTGGAAGTGGTCCCACTATTTGGTGACATGCAAATTGCTCCTTTTAACTACATCAAACGAAGCAAAAACTTTGAACCTAGTAGGTGGCCATTATCTTCATCAAATAATATCAGCCCCCAGGCAGATCTTATGGTCCATCTTCCTCAAATTCGAGAAGATCATGTGAAATACATCAGTGAACTGGCCCGGTACAGCAATGAGGTAAGAGTTATGTTATAAGTGCAATGAATAGTTTGATTCAAATTTGTTGTTTTTGTTATTTTACTTGCCACTTTATTGTATAAATATGCTGATAACTGCGTCCTCCATTCCAGGTAACAACAACTTACAAGGAATCAAGAACTGATCTAGAGAATAAGGAAACAGCAGACTTGGCTTTGAGAGGATTGCAGCTTCTCTCTGAATGGACAAGCGTTGTGACTGAATTGTACTCTTGGAAACTTCTTCATCCAACAGATCATCACCAAAATAAGGAATGCCCAGTTGAGGCTGAAGAGTATGAGAGGGTACTTACCTATTCAAAGTTGCTCTTCTATTTAGGAGTTGTTTTCTTTTTTAATTTTTCTTAAAGTATTATGTGAACTTTATCATCTATTGTCAGTTTTTTCTTTCTCTTTTATTATTAGGCAACTCGATACAACTATTCAGAAGAAGAGAAATTTGCTCTTATTGAGGTCATTGCAATGATTAAAGGCCTGCAGGTCTTGATGGCACGCATTGAAAGTGTTTTACAGGATGCTATCAGAAGAACAATTTATGCAGAGCTGCAGGATTTTGTTCAGCTGATGCTGAGGGAACCTTTAAGAAAAGCTATAAAAAACAAGAAGGATCTCATCAGAAGGTAAACTGGTGAACTTTTTATTTGTTTTGCAAGGGCAGAAATTGTTAATAACCATCTTACCATCTTCCTGTTTCTTCTTTCTTTTTCCTTTCCTTGGTCAAATTTTTTTGTTTTCAGTTGAAAAACTTTACTTATTTGTATTTTATCTATTTTTCAGTATTCTTGTATCTGTTCGTGAGACATGCGCTGATTGGCAAAGAGGGGTTGAGCCGTCTGGTGATCCTGCTCTGAAAGGCAAAAAAGACCCAGAAAGTGGATTTGGTATTAAAGTACCTCGACGTAATGTTGGTAAGTTCTTTAGATGATCTCTTTAAATGATGACTTGTTAGCCTTCAAATCAGAGCTAGGTATATACAACAATGTTACATATTTGAAATTGATCATATCTTGCTTTATAGGGCCTTCATCAACACAGTTGTATATGGTGAGAACTATGCTTGAATCCCTTATTGCTGACAAGTCGGGAGGAAAGCGTACTTTACGCAAAGACATTGATGGGCAGCATTTGATTCAAATTGACCAGTTCCACAAAATATCATTTTATTGGAACCATTTGCTGAATTTTAGTGGTAAGTCTTATCTGATTCTGATTAGTTGTGTTTATCTTAGGTGAAGCCCAAATGTGTTTTACGTATTCTGTCCAATTCCAGAATCCTTGCAACAGTGCTGTGATCTCTCACAGCTATGGTATAGAGAGTTCTATTTGGAAATGACTATGGGGCGCCGCGTCCATGTAGGTTGCAATTAAAAAATTAGAGTAGTAGTTCCCTACGAAGGCATGAAATAGTATAGCAAATTTTGCTCCAGTTTATCATTTTGTTTAAAACTTTTTTATTTTCATTTTCAGAAATGCCTTGTTAAACACCAGCATAATGATGAATGCAATGATCTGATAACCATGGAAAAACGAATCCAGGTCTGTCTATGTGTAAAATTAATATTCCATTATATCTACCGTATACATTTTTGTTGTGTTCAAATTAATTCTTTATGAACTATCAATGGAATAATTGTATTATATTCCAGTTTCCTATTGAAATGTCTATGCCATGGATTCTTACTGACCATATTCTGAGAACAAAGGATCCATCTATGATGGAGTGAGTATATTAATTTGTAATCTGTGTATATGTTACGGCGAATGTCCGGTGGCAGAGAATGTCGACATTCGCCGGCGAATGTCTAGATTCATCGGATGTCACCGGCGAATGACTTGACTTGACTAACTAGAGGCCTGCAAATGTCCGAATGTATTTTTGAAAGTTATTTTAATCGGACATTCGCCGGTTTGTCACTGGCGAAAGTAAGATTGGCCAAAGGTGCCCGGCGAATGTCCGAAAATTTGTCTTTTTCCTGGTGGAATTTAAAATAATGGGATTAATTTGGACATCCGGTTTCTGGGAAATGTCCGAAGGGAAACTGGGGCTTAGTTATAAGGAAGTAAAATTGTCATGTTCTGTTGTTCATTGTTTGAACTAGGATGGTGCGTTGTGTTGCGGCAATAATTACTGTTATGGCATTGAGATATGCCGAGCAGGCCGCGTCAATAGTTGGCCTTCCCCCAACAATAAATTAAATACAGGTCATGACCATTTTACTTTCTAATAACTAAGCTCCAGCTTCCCTTCAGACATTAGCCAGAAATAAGCTGGTGACTGTCTGAATTAATCCCATCAGTTTAAGTTCCTCCAGGAAAAAGAAATATTTCCGGCCATTCGCCGGGCACCTTTGGCGAATCTTACTTTCGCCAGTGACAAACCGGCGAATGTCCGATTAAAATTACTTTCAAAAATATATTCGGACATTTGCCGGTGACCTCCGGCGATTGGGACATTCGCCGGCCACCGGACATTCGCCGTAACATATATACCACACCTATGAATGATTTTGTAATTACATTCAATTAATTAAACTTTCTTGTGTTCAGGTACGTTCTATACCCCCTGGATTTGTACAATGATAGTGCTCACTATGCACTAACTGTATTTAGAAAGCAGTTCTTATATGATGAGGTGGAGGCAGAGGTGAATTTGTGTTTTGATCAATTTGTCTATAAACTCTCTGAACAAATATTTGCTCACTATAAGCAAATGGCCAGCAGGTAAAATTTTATCTGTATACTTATCTAATTTCATTTGAGGTGGTACACAATGTAATAATAATTATTGATTTTGTCAATGTAGTATTCTCTTAGACAAAAGATTTCGTGTGGAATGTGCTGCAATGGGGGCATATATTCCTTATCCAAGAGCAAATCGTTATGAAACACTTCTGAAACAACGTCATGTGCAGTTACTTGGCCGATCTATTGATTTAAATAAGCTCATCACTCAACGAATCAATGCTGATATGCATAAGTCTCTTGATCTTGCCATTAGCAAGTTTGAAGCTGGAGATATTACTGGGATTACGGTTTGTAGTTTGTCTGAGAGTTTCCTTTCATATGTCTATTACTCAATTTTCTCTTACTAATTTTCCAATTTCACAACATTATTTTCTAGGAATTAGATGGTTTGCTTGAAGTCAATCGTCTTTCACACAAGCTCCTCTCTCGTTACTTGGCTTTGGATGAGTATGATGCAATGTTCAGAGAAGCAAATCACAATGTACTTGCTCCTTATGGCAGAATAACACTGCATGTGTTCTGGGAATTAAACTATGATTTTCTCCCTAACTATTGCTACAATGCAGCCACAAACAGGTTAATAGTTTCAGTTTCCCTTACTTTCAGATTTAAACTTTAACTTAAAAATGGAGTTCTTACTAAACCATCTTATTTCCAGATTTGTCAAGTGCCGAGGTATTCAGTTCACACAACCAGTACACAGAGACAAACCTCCTCAAATGGCTCATCATTATTTGTGGGGTAGCAAACAACTTAATGTAGCATATTCCACTGTTTATGGCCAATACACAGGTAGCCTTTTCAATTTTCCCTTCACATTTTAAGTCAATTTTAAAAACTAAGCAGTCTGTAAATTGTTATTTCTATCCTCTTTTTAGGTTTTGTGGGGCCTTATCATTTTCGTACAATGTGCCGTCTCTTAGGATATCAGGGTATAGCTGTTGTAATGGAAGAGCTGTTGAAAATTGTGAAGAGTCTAATTCAAGGTAACTTGCTTCAGTTCACAAAGACCCTAATGGAGGCAATGCCTAAGGTGTGCAAGTTGCCGCGTTACGATTATGGCTCACCAGGTGTACTGGGGTACTACCATGCACAACTCAATGATATTGTACAGTACCCTGATGCAAAAACTGAGCTTTTTCACAATTTCCGCGAACTGGGAAACACAATCCTCTTCTGTCTTCTCATGGAACAGGCTCTTTCTCAGGAAGAAGTGTGTGACCTGCTGCATGCTGCAGCTTTCCAGAACATACTTCCTCGCCCATTCTGCAAAGGTGAATTACAGTGATTTCATTAGAATAGTCTAATCTTTACCATTAATCTATTTCTTTGAGAAAAACTTTTGTCTATTGCATTTAATTTATTTGTAGATGGGGAGAAGCCAGAATTCAAACAGAAAAGGCTTGAAGCAAAGTACGGGTCAATGCAAATTGTTCCCAACATTGAACGTCTTGGGACAGCAAAGGTGCTTGCAACATCTAATCTAATCTAATACCTCTTTAGTTTTTCTTTTACATTGTCACTATCCTAACTAATTTTTTCAGCAAGCATTGATATCAAGAGAAGGTGACCTGTTGACAAGGGAGCGGCTATGTTGTGGTCTTTCTATATTTGAAGTTGTTCTTACCCGACTTAAAAGCTTCCTGGATGACCCTATATGGGTTGGCCCTCCACCAGCCAATGGCGTGCTTAATGTGGAAGAATGTGCAGAATTTCAACGGTTGTGGTCTGCTTTACAGTTTGTTTACTGTATTCCAGTTGGGGACACAGAGTTTACTGTTGAGTGAGTACTCTTACAGGGGAGTTTGTGTATGTATCTGCATTGTGGTGTATGTTTGAATTTATGTTTTCTTTTCAGAGAGTTGTTTGGTGAAGGATTAAATTGGGCAGGTTGCACGATGATAGTCTTGCTTGGTCAGCAGCGACGATTTGAAGCTCTTGACTTTTGCTACCACATCCTGAAAGTTCAACGGGTAGATGGGAAAGATGAAAACGTCAAGGGAATTGTAAGTAGAATTGTACAAATATCTGATTAGTAAGCAGTTTTGGCATAGATATACAATATGGTTTTATTTTTAAACACATTGTTACAGAATCTTAAAAGAATGGTTGATCGGGTACGACGCTTCCAAGTGCTTAATTCTCAAATTTTTGCTATTCTCAACAAGTTCCTGAAGGGCAGTGAAGTTGATAATTCATCTATTGAACATGTTCGCTGCTTTCCTCCACCAGTGCATCCAACTATGTCCCACTATCACCGCACTGATCATTACAATCAAAGTGGACACTATGCATAATGTAGATCATCCATCATTAGTTTTGTACTATTTTCACTCAATTTATTTATTTTCACTGACTTTATTTATAAATGATGCCTTCTAGGTGCCAACAAAGGGCATTGACTTGCAAGTAATTAATTATGTAGCTATTTTTGCCAAAGAATATTCGTGAAGATACTCCATGTGACTGAAAATAACTAAATTCTTTTTATGTCTTTTTGAGAACTTTTTCTCACTTCATACTCTACCTTCTAGTTACCTTCATGAATTTTCATGAGTATTTTTTGCTGTCAGTATAGTTCTTATTTTTAGAAGAAGTATGCTACGCTTTAAAATCATAATTATGCATGTTTTAAAACTGCACACATAAAAAAAATGACTATTGATCAATTGGAATTGTTTTGTACAGTGTATTGTCCTTAACATTGTTCCTGAAAACAGTACTTAAAATTAGAGACTCTGTAGTAATTTGTTGCTTGAAGAAAGTGGTGATTGTAATGGTGAGTGAGCATCCTTGTGAAGGTAGTGGAACTCCAAACTTGAGTTACAGTATCATTAAAAAAGTAGTACTAATAATTATAGTTTATGGGCCATTGTTATGAATTTAGTCTCTTCCTATTATGTATGATCATAGATGGCAGTTTTTACAAAAAGCTAAAGCGTACTGCTGCAAATATTGAAACCAAAGTTTGACACATTACATCAAAGCACTTTTAATTTACATCCGCCGCTTAGCTTTCACTGTTTGTTAAGTGGGCACTGGTTAGCCATGTGAGGGTTAGCACCCACTTCTCTTCCTATTTTACTTATTTATTTTTGCATGCTGAACCATCTTTTAAATTAGTTTATTGACTTGTTTCTCTCTTGAGATTTATTTGCTATGATTGATAAATCCTAAATATTGTGAAGTGGTATTTTTGTGCAGCTTTTTTTTTTGATATGCTATTAGGTGGGGAGAGATTTTTAAGGAGACTGTGAAGTGAAACAGAACAAATGATCTAGAATCCTTGATTTGACATAATTATTTTTGCAATCTAGGTAGATAATGGTTTCAGAGTATGTATCTCAGCTTATTTGCTTGAAACTGTGTTACCTTTAATTATATGTTTCAAAGCACCAGCCTCATATGTATTATTATTATTTTGTCAAGAATTTCTATTAACTTGATTGTGTAATGAATGCACTGTGTTCAATTTGACCTCAACATATTCCTCGTTAATTGTGTTTTCAAAACTACAAAAAATCCTAATTAATTAACCCATTCATGTGAACATTTTTTAAACCTGTGGCAGCCTTTAGAATGTTGGTTTTCTCAATACCAATACCACTGCTTTAGATTTAAAAAAAAAGCTAAAGCATGCAGATAGTTTTTACAACGTAAAATGAATAAGACAATCTGCCTTATTATTTTTTTCATACATTTAATTTAGAATTGCATTTTAATGTACAAAATCAAGTTTTGAATATAAGTTTTCCTCTAGCTCCTCTGTTAGAAATCATCAGATTGTGAGCTTCCTTGGCACTGTCGAGATCAAATTCTCTATCTACTATGGGATTAACCCAACCTTCATCTGCTCCTTTTAATAAAACATTTCCTATTTCTTGCATCTCTTCCTGAAAACAAAATCATGACACATTTTAAAGCATTGCTAGAAGTCATATAAAGGAGTATTGAACTAAGACAATCTTCTTTCCATGAGCATTACCTGAGTATTGGCTAGTAACTTGATACCAACAACCATAGCCTCCGTATATATCAGGTGCCTAGGCACAATCGTCACCTCATTGCGGGAACCCACAACCTGAAGAAAAGTAGATGAATTAAGTATCAATGGTAGTTAGTCTAGAAACAAAGAATTCCCACTTATCCTTAAAATATTGACAATACCGCTAATCTTGCTTTTTGACTTAAAACCATCAGGTCATTTCCCAGATTGACATGGGCCATATTTTCGAGCAGAACATCAAAACCTTTGCCTTCAGTTATTTCATATGCCTTCTTTAGATGGTCTTCTTCTCTATGGTTGAAAACATAGTCAGCACCTGCTTTCTTTACTATTTCGAGTCCTGCTTCTGTACCAGCAGTGCCAACTACACACAGACCTGTAAAATAAAAAACGTGTTACAAATTACATGATCTTAAGTCAGAAAATACAATTAAGGTCCTTTCAGTCAAAGGACAATGGATTGAAGGAGGTAATTATGGTGAATTACCTGTCTGTTTTGCAAGCTGAACAGCTGCTATACCAACGGCACCACTTGCACCATGAACAAGAACTTTCTCACCTTTTTTCATCTGACATCTATAGAGACCAGCAATAAGATTTCAAAATTAATTAAAAGATTTTCATACATCATAAACCAAAGCTAAGAAATTAAGAAATTTGATAAAGTTAAGTATGATTCGCTTAAAAGCGAACGCTCACCTACTTGATGACCAATGCTCGATATGCCGTAAAATATGGAACATACATTCCAGCCCCTTGTGAAAAAGACAGTTTATTTGACAGTATAAAAGTATGATCTTGGGAACAAACTACATTTTCAGCATAACCACCATTCCATGGTAAACAACAATATACTCTGTCTCCTTCCTTTGTAACAATAAACAGTAAAATTAGTCAAAATTACAAGTTTTTAGTTTAGTCACAATTGATGTGAGAATTAAAAATAAATACCTTAAATTTTGTCACATTTCTCCCTTTTCTAACGACTACACCAGATACCTCTTTTCCCAGGATAAGGGGTAGTGTCGGTAAAACAGCAAACCCTCCCTCTCTTGTATAAACATCTACTGGATTTATACCACAACGTTTCACTTCTACTAAAACCTATGGGGGAAAAATTAATCCATTTAGTAGAAGACAATAAATACCAAAAATTAGATGTATGAAGAGATTTAATTACGTACTTCATTTTCCTTCTCCTCAGGTACTTCAACATTATTAACTTGTAAAACCTCTGGACCTCCAAATTGATGAATTTGAACTGCTCTCATTAAATGACGAATGCTGCAATGATGAGGCATTGATTATAAACTTCTCACTATACATTTTGGAAAGGAAAGTTATGTTAAAATATGACCACTTTAAATTAAAAATTTAAGATTGCTTTTTGATCAGCATAATCTATGCAAAAATAGTGTACCAAAATTTTCCAAGGTTAAGGTGTTGACAGGAAATATGGAACTAGAAGCTTCACAGAAGCATACAATCAGAATAGAAGAGAGAGCCAATTGGAGAAAAATATTTCGTGCGAATTGGACAAAATATTTCTTGTTCATTTTTTTTTTACAAAATTTAAAAACACTTACCTTGAGCTGTGGACCACTGAAAATTGTGTAAGTAGTGCATGCCCGTGTCTACCAAGCGAAGAACACATTCTGAACTTCGATCGTACGAAGCTGACAGCACGAATAGATAGGAGAGACACTTCTCAGGAGCTTAGTTCACGTGTGTTTGGCTATCATTCCCAATAAAAGGTACAAGCAACGAATTCGACTTCTGAAACACAAACATGTACTTCGGCCTTGCCGCTGGCTGGACGGCGATGGCAGAAGGCAGACGTGCAGACGACAGTGTAGTCTCACACGGCATGGCTTCAGACGATGAATACGAACGTGAATCTGCTTCCAACGTAAACAAAACAAACACGCCCCCGCGCGCGCCGCGACCAGGCCGCGACGTTGCCGCATGCCGCATGCTGCTACACCGCAGTCGTAACCTGGTGTCCATGTGGAGTGGTGCTGCTCGTTTGACTTGAAGCGTGGTCGGTTAAAAATGGAAGAGTTAACCCATGGAATTGGACATTTGTTAAGACCAGTCCTAGATTCCGAGCACAAAGATGAAGCTCTTGGAAGTCTCTTAAGCTCGTGTGCTGATCAACGTGTTTTTGTCAAGGTAAAATACACTCTGCAATGGGCGGCTGTTTAGACCAACCACTGTGCTGAAAAGGGTATCATGATCAACCCATTAGCTTACTTTAACTTGGAGGGTGAAAATTGAGATTCTGATATTTGTTTGTCGAATTTTCGCTTGTCATTGTTAAATCTCCTAGAATCTATAACCCCATCTACTTTCAACCGTCGGTTGCCCGGCGTCCCTCGCGATGTTCATTCATTTTATGAATGGAGTTTTAACTTAGCATACATTATAATCACTATTCCGTGTAGCATTTGGCGCTGTTTGTTGCATTGCTTGATGTGTAGTTCTGAACCACAATGTTTTTCTGGACTGTGTCCTTCCCTCAGTGCAAATGCTATTTCTTTTACAGGCTGACCCAGGTTTACACTCAGTAGCAAGTCTTATTAATACTAAACTTAATGAATCGTCTTCAAGGTAAAGCCTCTTGAGTCTTATTCTTTTTGACTACTTTTAGTAAATTGTACTCACCTTGAATCTTCTGTTGATAGGTTCGATGGATTAGTCTTGCTGCACACTTACCTACCACAATGCTCTTTAGATATCCTTTTGCCAAATGCTTGTTCTTGGATGCAATTTTGTTTGAAGAGTTTTACTGTACCCAAGACATCTCATATTGCTTTCACTGTTTTCAGTAAGTATATCTTGCCATCAATGTGTTTTCTATAGATAAATTGTGTTTTCTTAATGTCCTCTGTATTTTCTAGAAATATTGCTTGAGCAGTCTGTGTCCATACCAGAGTTGTCGAAACATGTATCCTCCACAGTCGTAGCCAGTTTTGCAGAACAGTTGCATCAAGGTGTACCCCCTCAGGTAGTTTTGGCTTCCTCAAGTGCAGCTTATTAAATGTACTTTCATCCACTCAATTTATTTTTTTGTACGGTAGGCATATTCTAGCGCTCTCCAATGTTTAGAATATTGTATGAGGAATTACAATGGCCCCTGCGGACCACATAGAGTAAGTTTGAAATGATTAGGGGAATACTAAGTAACTGTACTACATTGCTAATGTAATGTAGCATGCTCATTTTCTCTTTTCTTTTGTCAGAAAGTGTTTGAGCGCTTCTTATTTTCTATGGTCGACTCCACGGGGCCTGAAAGATACAAGGCAGCTCGTTGTGTGGCCATGTTACCCCAAATTGGTGGTGGAGGTGTGGGCGGTATCCGATATGAAAATTCATGGGTTGCTCAACATCATGCCATCATACGTACCATCCACTTATTGTTGGATGAACTCTATGCTAATATCAATGAACTGACCTTGATGGGTAACAAGCTGGAGGATGTTGATCCTTTGCCATTCCCTCCTATTGAAACCACTGATCCAATTCTTTTAGTTCAGAAATTGAAAAATCGCCTCATCAACATATCAGCATATCTTATGTTCATGCTTGTGTAAGTTAAACCCATTTTATCAACATGACACTAGATACCATTTTTCTAGGTATCAGTCAAACATTAATCAAAATTTATTTCAGAATGCCGTACCCTGTTCCGAAGGAAGTTTCTGCCTCATGTATAATGCATTTGATCTGTCGAGGACTTGCTGTAACTGGTTCTTCCTTAGGCAACAGTTATACAACTCATCGCTTAGCTCTTTTAGCAGATCTACCATTTATTCATACTGCTTTACTGAAGGTGTTAGAAGCACTAATTTTGTTGTAAGTGCAGGTTAACTACCAATAAATGTGTTTTTTTTATTCCTTTATTTTAAATTTTTCTTGTGCTTCTCAGTGGTCAAACAAATATGCTGACATTTGCATCTCTAATTTGTAAACTTGCAATTCAGAGTTTGAAATGGACCTCTGTTGATGCTTGGCCATTTAGCCATGACAGACCTTTCAGGTACGTTTTACAAATTGTTTTTTAAACTTCACAGTACCTAATTAAAAAAAATTATTTAATTTTGTTTCATTTTACTTTTTAGTGTTCTCAGATTACAATCCTATGCAATCATTAAAGTTTGGTGTGGCATTGCAAAGAGTGGAAGTCTTGTAGATGAGGTAGCCCAACAGCTTGTCGAATTATCGAAGTGTGACATTTATTCAGAGAAAGGCGCAGTTTCTCTTTCTGTAAGTATACTTGTTTCATCCGTTTATTCCAAATACATCTTAAATCTGCATTTTCTCTCATTAATGATTTTTGTCTAGCAATCTTCAATGGTTATTAGAAAGCAAAATAATCAGAAAAGAAAGGGAAATTCCATTATGAGTAGCACCACACCAACGAATCTGCTGCCTACCAATAAGTCATCCAACAAAGATGTTTCTGTCGCTGCTTTACAGGCAATGCAGGCTATGATAATGTCAGCTTCATATCAAGTTCAACCTTCTGTCCACAAGGTCTGTAAATTGTGAACTTTCAATGTTTGAAGACTTTTGAGATGTTCGTATCTTTAATATTGGTGTTTTGTTGTAGGTTCTTCAGGAGACTGTTGTTGCCCTGCTACTCAAAGTAACAAACAAGGTAGAAGATTCTCCAATCCCATATTCTGATAAAGCACCTAGACTTGAACTCTTCAAACTGTTGCTCCAACTTGTTCTGGATTGTCATCCAAATTCGCCTCCCCCTACAAGTATTGCTCTTAAACTCTTCTCGAGTGGTCTTCGTGATTCAGAAACAGAGGTTTGTTAGTTTTTTTAATCTATTTGTCAATTGTGAATGATCTCTTGTTTATTTTTCATAATTCTGTTGACACTTTTGTTCTGCTTTTTCAGATTGCAATGCTTTGTGGAACTGCACAAAGTGCTCTTGATAAAATAATCCACCCAGCTTATGCATCTCTCAACATTATGCCAAATAGACAAGAATTAGAAGATGCTGTTGTTCAGTCGGGACTGTCGCACCATCTATCTCATCAATCAAATTCATCCAGAGCTCGTTTCCAGGATAACACAGATGATTCGGAACTTGAGATTACTGATGCTGTCTCGATGTCATCCAATGGCAAGATCTCCACATCTAAAGAGCATTTTGTGTTCCATCCAAAGCATCGCTCTACGGCAGTACTGAATGATATCACAGCAAGAGCTGAATTTACTAGTCCAGTGCATAGCACACCACATGTGTCCAAAATGCCTCCCAAGGAATCTTGTTCACCTGCAAAGAATAATGAGAAGTCTTCTTTGAATGTCCAAAATTCATCAGATCGTAAGTCAACTGTTGATCTTACATCTCCCTCACCCAGTCATGTAAAGGTGACCTCTGCTCAACAAAATAATGAAAAAGAAGATGTCACTAAAACAGTGGATCTTACGATGTCGGATAAAAGTGATGATGACGATGATGATGCAGATATATCTGAAGTACCTTGTGAAATTGACTTGGCAGACTCTGATGATGATAAAAGCAATTTATCGATGTGCAGTCAAACCACGTTGAGCACCCCACTAAAGGAAAACAGTCAGGCACCTAAAGCAGATGTGCAGAGAGAGAAAGTATCGCCAACTATTTCGGTTCCCGCAGCGGTTGTGGATGGTCCAGCAGATGTGGGCAAAGCACCAGAAGATAATGCAGAAGGCAACCAGTCCACAACTGAGCTACCTACTGCACAACCATCTGAAACTACTAAAGAAGCTGAGGCATCCAATTTGTATGACATACCTACTCAAACCCAAGAGCAAATAGAAAAAAAGAATGAGGATCCAGTAATTGCAGTAAATGAGACAAAACCGGAGGAAGTAGTTTCAGATAAGAAGAGAAACGCAGAGGATGGAGAGGAAACCTCACCCAAAAAACAAAAGTTAGGTGAAGATTTTGAGTTTGATAGTTGTGAGGAAGACGCTCTTCTTCTGTCATTTCAAGATGTAGTCCGGGAAGAGCTTGACGAAGATGGAGAATGAACCTGTGCAGTCTAATTTGTGGCAAAAAAAAATTCCTGTATTTTTTGCATTTCTTATTTCAAGTATTTATATTTGTTTCTTCCATTTTTTGCTTTAATCTTCTATTCAATAATATGTTTTCTTATCTTGTATTTTTTTTAGAAAATACATCATAGTT